CAGAGAGAGAGAGAGAGAGAGAGAGAGAGAGAGAGAGAGACGAGAGCCACTCAAAAAGTGATGTGTCGTTGCTTAGACTTTGACGCTCAGTATGAGAGCGTATAGGCCATAGTCCAAGTCCTAGTCTAGGCCAAAAAGTAAAAGAAGAGGAGACCCTGTGAGATTCCTGATTCATTGAATTGCGATCCACACATGTATCCACTTCAACAGTTCTACAGTAGGCCTACCGGTACGATAGAGAGCACAAGCAACAAGACCGAGGAATTGATGGCTTCCAACAAAGACTAAAGGAAATGCTTGTCATTCAAATTTAAGGCCAAGATAATCAAGAAGTTGATAATAAAAGGAAGACTTGTCTAAAGCGCAAATTTTATTGATATGAAAGGGGAATAATCATGAGGTTGTATATAACATGTTCTGTAATTCCCCTTTGCATTCTTATAGCGGGAACTCGCCTACACCGGGATTGTTCTTCTGGAACCAAAAGTCCCGAACCGTGTTCTACTGGAACTAACTACCATAGTATGAGACTTCGTGCAAACGTGCCGAACTGTCGGGGACACTGTTAGTGTACAGACTGAGTGGATGCGTCTTGCTGGATTTTAGGCGCATCTTTTTGATAATTTGGTAACGCGACGCTCAAAAGATGCCTTATGCGAACGCAGTGGAAGCGTCTTTCAGTCATTATAAGTTGAGTGTAGATCCAGGTCAAGGGACGAAGAATGTGTTTTTCAGTGGTTGCCGTTACCATGGTTGCATGAGTGGCGACATGCTCGGTGTCGATATTTGTGTATTGGTGCATAGAATAAATCAAAGACGAGATGTGTGGAGAGTACCATCATTTAATGGACGATATACTACGAAGCTGTTGTTTTCATTTCCATTGTCATAAAGGCATTTTCATTTTTCAACCGTACGAATCAATGCTTCTGTGTCCGTTTCGCATGACGTGGTAATAAAAACGAGCTACAAACTATGCACTTCACACATAATAGTGCGGTCGAAAATTCGTGGGGCAACTCATTGTCAAATATTTCGTGAACTGTTGAACAAAAAGTCTCTTTGTATTGCACAATGACTTGTTAAATTATCTTAACAGATCTATACTCTTGTAAACACCTGCTAGCTGTATTCTAGAAAATCGCATAATATAAATACTTATTTAAAATCCCTGCGGGGGGTTTCTACAATTTTTAAAAAAGATTTACAATTGGGACAATATCGGTTTCAAAAGTCCGTTATATTTTTTTTCTTCTAATCGCCATAGTATGCTTAACAGACGCATGTTTTAAGAACCTTAAGTGAAAAAATTGTTCACTATAAAATTAATTTCTCGTAACAAGTTTTGCCTCTAAAAAGTGACATTGGCGAGCTGTGATGTCGGCCATTAGTATGCAAAATGTATGTGATAAGCGGGGAGTGCTGTGAACAATACCATTTTCCTTGTGACGGAGATTTGTAAAGTTTATTTTATATAAATTTATTAAGAGATAAAAAATATGATTAAGTTAAGACACATTGATACAAACAGCTGTGCAAAGTATTGATGACATTGATTCACACACTAAAGAGATAATTGAGGATACGTTGTGACACGAATTTTTGACTGCTCTATATAGACCTAAACCTAGCAGCAATTTTAGGACTTGCACATGAAATTTTCGTGCAGCACTACCGGACGCTATCCAGAGGCAGCTCAACCAGCAGCAACCACCATAGACACTTCTTCAATTGGCTCCAGCCATCGCGTGGGGTGGGTAGAGATCCCAGGTCGACAAATATAATGAATGCTCTCGGAAGCTATATGGGTAGAAGATGCAGAGCCGTCATTGCAGCCAACAGAGGTCACACACGACACTGACTTTCTATCCCAAGGTCAAAGTCACCGAAATAACACAGTAAGGTTAAGCTAAAACAGCCACCTATTGACAGCGCCATGGCTGTTTAAATTGAATGAATTAAAATTTCATCTACACGTCATGACAAATCATTGTTGAGTGTGGTGTGTTTTATTCATATCTTAGTTATTCGCTTTTCTTTTGCCTCTGAGTATACATAAAACATTTCATATATTATGTGGCGTCAGAAAAAATGTAATTAATTATTAAAAGTTAATTTTAAAATCCAGAATGCCGCACATTTTGTTGCAACTACTTAACACAAAGGTGTAAGTTGACAGAAATGGGCAGGGTCAGAAGAAAAAAAAAACATACTACATACCACCAGACCACCATACAACCATAATACCACCATACCATCATACCACCATACCACCATAATACCACCATACCATCATACCACCATACCACCATACCATCATACCACCATACCACCATACCATCATACCACCATACCACCATACCATCATACCACCATACCACCATACCACCATACCACCATACTACTGACGGTCGTTTTTCGAACTCAGAACAAAATGGTTTGGCAGAACCGACGTAAGGCCTCACACACAGTGCACGCTTCTCCGACGCTTCTTTTTCGGTTGCGACGTCTTTCTCCGAAAAAGTTGCATCGCCAAATTTTATTAACGAAGGATTGAATGCACGGTGCTACAGTGGGCGAGGAGCAGACGTAGCGCTGGACGGAGCAGAAAAAGTTCAGCGTGTGCACTTGCTGTTGAAATAAAATTTCGAGCGTCTGCTGTGCGGCTGAACTGTTGTGGCGTGATTGTCTAGTGTCGGTAGTGTGTAGTCATAGTGAATTGTTGCATTTTGACTAAAAATGGAGTCGGAGGCATTAATACACTCAGTTGAAAAAAAGAAGATGTCTTCATGACAAAGCAGATCAAAACTACTGCAACAGGGCCATGACATGGGCCGAATGGAAGAAAGTAGCCAACGAAGTTGGATGCAATGGTAAGAACTTTTCTTTCTTTCTTTCTGTCTGTCTGTCTGTCTGTCTGTCTGTCTGTCTGCCTGTCTGTCTGTCTGTCTGTCTGTCTGTCTGTCTGTCTGCCTGAACGTATGTACACTGTACAACATGTATACTTGTTTCAAACCATATGCCTACTTTATCTAATTAAAAGAGATGCAATGATAACTCTTTTTAAGTGAGAGTGTGGACTGATCAGACGTTATAGCATTTACTGTTTTGCCATGGCAATGCACCCTTCGGTGACGAGAAATATCCCATGAAAGCATTTCTGACTTCCATCCCACTTTTGGTAGCTCTGCTCCTTATAACTTCTAGTCTGTCGAACGTTGGTTAGCCTGCTCATGACTCAACCACGTCATCCTCAATGTGCCGTAGCACCGATCTTCCAGGTTCTTGCATGATAATGACATTCTGGAGCACTGTGATGGCCTTGACTGCATTTGCTGCCGACTCTGGCTTTTCATCCATTTGGTGCAGGAGTATACACCACATTTGGGGAATCTCACCAAAAGAGCTATCATGTAATAATGTAGTTATTGAATAAGAAATACGCGAATGCACACCACTGCTGATTGCTGGAGCTGACCCGGAAGCTGTACCTAACTTTGGAGGGAAACTTCACTTCCCCCTGAGCTGTCACGCCATGAACAACACATTCTGGGTACACCTCATCAAGAGACCTAACAGGTTAGGGCCTACAGATTATCTAGATCTAAATTCATTACATGGTGTCAGAAGTTGGATCATAATGACCAGTTTTTGAACACCCTGCCTTGGATTGGGGAGATCCAGATCTTTACAAGGAATTCATTAGATTCAAAGACCACACGGACTTCGTTTTTGCAGGACCCCTTTGAGAGAGACAGAGAGAGAGCGAGAGAGAGAGAGAGAGAGAGATAGAGAGATAGAGGGAGAGAGAGAGAGAGAGAGAGAGAGAGAGAGAGAGAGAGAGAGAGAGAGAGAGGGGGGGGGAGTGTGTGTGTCTTACACCTAAACAAAAAGCAGGTTGGCCAGGCACGTGGATAGGCGCTCAGGGTTGAGAAGTCTACAGGACTTGCACGTTTTGAGGCCTACGTGAGGCCAAGAAAGAACAAACGAATTGCTCGTCACAACCTAAAGAAAAAAAAATCAACTGCCAAGTGAGAGTTTTGACATGTTCATAACTGATCTCAGGCTGACAATAATGGATTGTGACTACACAGATCAGGCAATCAGCATTTGTCAACAATATGAAACTTTAAAAAAAACCAAGTACGCATCGTACGAGGCCAAGAGGAAGACTCAACACTACTTTCATGTTCTCCTAGCCAAGTAGATCTACATGAGATCCAGGCAAAGTCGTCCAAGCAACATCTTGCGTCCAACAAGGGTAGGCCTATGATGACAGCTATATCTAGAACGAGCAAATTCTCATCTAATTCTAGCGAATGTAATCGATGTGGCACAAACCACAGCCGCACAAAAGGAAGATGCCCTGCAAATGGCACATCTTGCTCGTACTGTAACAAGGAAAACCATTGGGCTCGAGTGTGTATGAAACGGCTCAGGGATTTAAAGCTATTGGAAGTCACTGAGGAAGACAAAGATTCTTCATCAGGTGAGGAAGTTTTAGCAATTTACGCAAACACTGATGCTAACAGAAAGAGAATTTCTGACAAGTGGAGCCAAAAGTTACAAGTTTACAGTCAGGAGTTGGAGTTCAAAATAGACACTGGAGCAAAGTGCAACACCCTAACTGTTGTCTCTTTTCAAAAGATTTCCCACAAAGCTGAGCTAAAGGATTCAAATCGAACCTTAAAGACGTACTCCAACCATCTCATTAAACCTGTGGGTTCGACCATCCTGAATATGACTCACAAAGGTTCAAGCATCCGGGAGACATTTGAAATGGTCAATCTTAAGCAGGAAAATGTTATTACAGGTGCGTCAGCCGATAAATTAGGGCTGTTAGTACGGCTTTCCTCAGTAGATTCAGATAAGTTAACAACTGAGTTTCCTTAAATTTGTGGAACAGGCGGCACCCTGCCAGGGAATACCAAATAAAGCTGAAACCCGGCGCAAAAGGAGTTGTTCACGCCCCAAGGAAGCAGCCAGTGGCTCTCAAGAAGAAGATAGTAGAAAAACTTAGAGATGGAACAAGAAAGCCACATAACAAGGGTGGATGAACCTACTGAATGGGTCAGTAGCATGACCGTCGCTCTGCGAGGAGACAAAGTTCAAGTGTGCCTAGACCCATCGGACCTTAATAAAGCAATTCAGAGAGAACACTACCCCATGAAAACAATCGAGGAGATCGCTTCAGAAATTCCTGGTGCTACTGTTTTTTCTACATTAGACGCCAAAAATGGATTCATGCAGATTAAGTTGGATGAACCACCATCTTACCTCACTACTTTCAATACACCCATAGGCAGATACCGCTGGCTACGCCTTCCATTTGGAGTAAGCTGTGCCCACAAAGTCTATCAAAGGATAATGAACAGTGTGTTGGAGGGCATAGAAGGTGCATTTGCAGTGATAGATGACATTCTCATCAATGACAGGAACACAGAGCATCATGATGCTATAATTCGGCAGGTAATGGAGAGAGCCACAAAATTCAATCTGAGACTTAACCTTGAAAAAACAAAGCTGCGCCAACCACAGGTCATCTATGTAGGTCATATCATTTCAAAAGAAGGATTAAAACCAGACCCAGCAAAAATAGAAGCTGTCGTGAACATGCCTGCCCCTACAAACAAAGCGGATGTTAAGCGATTCCTCGGATTCGTGACCTACTTGGATAAATGTTTACCTGATTTGAGCACTCATAGTGCAGCCTTACGGGAACTGCTGAGAGAGGACACATCCTTCACCTGGTTGAAATTACAAGAAGAATCTTTTCAGAAGCTGAAAGAAATGTGCACAAGCTGTTCAGTGCTTTCCCTCTACGATGTCAACAAAGACACACAAATCCAATGCGATTCATCCAGTACAGGACTCGGTGCAGTGCTTCTCCAAGATGGTCGTCCCATTGCGTATGCTTCAAGAGCACTTACAGACACAGAGACGTGATACGCACAGATTGAGAAAGAAATGCTTTCAATAGTCTTCGCCTGTAAGGAATTCCACTGCTTCATATTTGGGAAACATACAACAGTCTCAAATAATCACAAACCCTCGGAAATGATTTTTCGGAAGTCCCTACCTCAGGTTTCAATGAGATTGCAGAGGATGATTTTGGCCTTACAGTGGTATGATTTCATTGTTACTTACAGCAAAGGAACGACAATGCAACTTCCAGATACACTGTCTCGTGCCTATCTACTTATCCAAAAGGAGGACATCTCAAACATTCACTGTGTGGATGTTAGAAAGCTGCTTTCAATAACTGAAAACAAGTACAAAGAGATAAGACGAGCTACTGAAGCTCAGCTTGCAGATTTGCTCACCACTATCCTCAAGGGATGGCCCCCTAATCGTTCAAATGTCCCTCTTCAGGTCCAACCATATTGGGATGCCCGAGCTGATCTCACAGTTGTCGACGGCGTCATTCTCAAAGGTAACCGCATCACTGTCCCTCCCAGCCTCATACGCTACATCATAAGACTAGTGCACGAGTCTCACTTAGGAATTATGAAAAGTTTCAGGAGATAGCTTGTGACATTTTTTAAACAGCAGGAGAGCAATACCTGATTACAGTTCACCTTTATTCCCGTTTTATCTTAGTCAACAAGCTGGCCAACATGTGTGCCTCAACTGTGGTGAACACTATGCTACAAATTATTAGTGTCCATGGCATTCCAGAAGTTATAAGTACTGACTGTGGCACCCAGTTCCTATCCCTGCAGTTTAAGACTTTCTGCGACAATCTAGCAATTTCACATGAGCCAGTGTCGCCGCATTATCAACAGGCAAACGGCCTCGCTGAAAGAGGTGTTCAAACTGTCAAGCGCCTTTGGAACAAGGGAGCAACAAACACCTGACCGTGTTGGATTACAACAGTACTACTCTGGAGGGCCTTGGTCTGTCACCAGCACAATTGCTTTTTGGACGTCGACCTAGAAACAAAGTACCAACCACACGTGAATTGCTCCAGCCGAATCCAGTGGACAGAAAGGCTGTCAGAACACACTTTGAAAGGGAGAAGAAGAAGCAAAAATTCTATTGCAAATAGAATTGCAAAGCCCCTTCCGGCCCTGACTACAGGGGACGAGGTCAGAATTAAGCCACAGCCGGGCACCAAGGAATGGTGGCCTGCGAGAGTGTGGAAAGAGAATCGTAAAAGATCCTATGTTGTCCAGAACGAAAATGGTAAAATGTACAGGAAACATATACGTCGTTCTACAACTGAAGCAAACAAACAAAAACCTGATCTTTGTGACGAAGAGACACCTGACATTGAGGAGTTTCCAGGAGCAGTTGATGACCCAGAGACACCTCATGTCAGCGCATAGAAGATCCAGGAGCTTCACCGCGACAACCCAGGACAACTCGCTCGGGGCGAAACATTCGCGCCCCTGAGCGCCTGGACCTTTAATCTCCATTAAAAATCACAACGTGCATAGTTCTAGGGGGGAGGAGTCATGTAATAGTGTAATTATTGAATAATAAATACGCCAATGCACACCACTGCTGATTGCTGGAGCTGACCTGGAAGCGGTACCTAACTTTGGAGGGAAACTTCACTTCCCCCTGAGCTGTCACGCCGTGAACAACACATTCTGGGTACACCTCATCAAGAGACCTAACAGGTTAGTGCCTACAGAATATCTAGATCTAGATTCGTTACAGAGCATTTAACTGAATTCCTCGCACGTGATAGGCGATAATAGAAAAGCTCTTCTCATGAGTTAATTGTATTTTTGGAAATAGCTTCATCAAATTTAGTCTCAATGGAAATGCATCATCTGCTACGAATGCAAATGGGAGGGTTGTGTCACTGTCTGTATCCTGTGGTAAATCCAGCTTGTCAGCAAGCAGTCTTTTTCCAAATCCAACCGCTCTTTTGCTGACAGGGGTTTCCGGAAATTGGTAGTTCGCTTCTCTATGTAGGGTCCAGTTTTGTCCAACAAGAGCTGAAATGTGGAGGGTCTCATCCAGAAATATTTCAGGTATTTTTCTTCGTCTGAAAGGATTTCTGTCATCAAGTGATGGTATTCACCAAGATGTGTCTCTCTTTTTATTGATTCTATGTACCCAATATCTACGCCGTGATCGTCTCCTGTTATGGAGCCATGAAAGCATCAACGATTGAAGAACCTCTTTAACCATCCTCATTGACTGACACGTTGCTGAATGAACCGACTGAACCGAACGACGCAGCCACTGTGTTTGCTAGAAGAAAAGTCGGAACAGACGCGGCGAGTAACTTTAAAGTGCATCGCTGCAGCTGCGGCCACTGTGTCTGCGCACTAAGAAACTTGTTATTGTTATATGTTATGTCTGCGGAGAAGAAGACGTTTTGAAGCCCATCCACTCATGAGGAA